ATATATACCTCTACTATGTACCCACAAAAACTTAAAATTATAAAAATAAAGTAAAATAAAATAAAATGCTCAGTAAGCTTCATATAAATGGAAGTTGAGTTCACTTAATGCTGGGCTCTTCCCTATTGCAATAGCATATTACTGATTAAAGTCTGTTGTTTCTACCTTAAGTAGTGTCTGGCTTTGTTTATCTTTGACACTTCAAAGTCTGTTAGGCTGTGTGACTTGGGGACTTTACTTAACATCTCTGTGCCTCAGTTTCCTCACTTGTAAAATAGGAGATAAAAATAATACCCCCCCATAGGGTTGTTGTGAGCTCTGAATGAGTTAACATGTATAATGTACATAGAACAGTAGGTGTTACCTTAAGTTAAATTAGGTTTAGCTTAAATCTGCCTCTTGGTAAATTTGGTCTAAAGGTTTCTCCATATATAATGATGTAACCTAACTGGGTGTGGAAACAGACTGTAACTTACTCTTGTAATGAGTAGCCAAGTCTCAGCCCATCACAGAAGCCATACTTCAACCACTTGTAGGCGGCCACCTGTTCAAATCGTGTTCAAATAGGGCAAATGCATGGCTGTAACCAATCTGGCTGTTTCTGCCTGTCACTTCTGTTTTCTGTATCTCACTTTCCCTTTTCTGTCCATAGATCCTCTCTGACCACACAGAACTGCCAGAGTCACTCTGAACCTACTCTGGTTGAGGAACTGCCCGATTTGTGAACTGCTCAATTAAACTCTGTTAAAATTAATTCATCTAATGTTTTTCCTTAAACCCTAATTTTTTTGAGCTTTTGATTTATTTATTTTTATTTTTTGTTATTATTATTATACTTTAAGTTCTAGGGTACATGTGCACAACTTGCAGTTAACCCTAATTTTTATTAGCACTGCAAGCTCTTTAATGTTGAAACAAGAAACATATATGTATGTATTTACGTATACACATACACACACATCTATATCATGTATAGCAGAGTCAACTGGATTAAAAAAATAAACTTTTCATTGGGCCAGTTATTGACAAACAACAGAGTTCCTTGATACGAGAGCTTCGGATATTGACTTGGAACAGGATTGATTGATATGTAGGACCATAAATGTAAATGCATTTTAGGCCAGAAAGTAAATACTATTTGAGCAGTAAGTTCTTTCATAAAATACATACCTGGAAATTGCAAAGATCAGATTAAAATTTCAAACTGAACTAGATCCTCTGTGGGATTTGTGAAGTCTTGCCATGTCAATGACACCAAAGAGTGGCAGGTGAGGTAGTGGCGGTCAAATCTGTGCCTTTGACTGCCAGGCATCTCCCAGGGCCTACCTCCAGGAGAGCTCATGGGATGCAAAAACTTCTGGGGTGCCATGCTGCTCCCTTGCTGGTTGTGAAACCAAATGAGAAAGATAGAAGATCAAGTTTTCTACCCTTTGCCCAGTCTAGAGTGATTCACTTTTGGATTCACTTTCCTGGGAGGCGGAAATTGCAGTGAGCTGAGATCATGCCACTGCACTCCATTTTGGGCGACAGAGTGAGACTCTGTCTCAAAAAATAAATAAATAAAAGAAATTACGACTCTAAGGGTGCATCCTCACAGGGCATTGTGTCGTTTTTTGTCCTGCTTTATTTTCTGTTAGTTCTTAGGACTGTTAGACAGTCTTAGTCCAGGCTCCTTATATAATAAGAACCCAAGCAAGGTTATGTGCTAATGTTTTATTGGGGGGTGCTATCCCAGTGAAAAAGGGCAGGGAGGCAGCTAATGCAGGAATGGAGATACAAGATGAGGCATTGGGAAGCTGGCCACTGCTTCCCCAGAAGACATTGCTGGTGGCTCAGCTCCCGTTCATCTACTGGTTCCTTCCCATCTCTGTCTCTTATGGATCTACATTCCTTCTTCAGAGTGTTGAATCCTTGAACCTTCCTGTTGTGTTATGTGGTCCCTTAGGGCAGCAGCTAGGGAAGCCATTCTGGACTTGGGCACAGGAATTGCAGCAGCTCCTCAACCTGTGAGGAATTAGGAAGAAGTTAGGGTTTTACTACCAAGGGGACTGTGCAGGGGTAACTCCCGGCATAGGCCTGGAAGGCAGGTGGGGCCAAGTGGATCTGGGGTCTGCACAAACTGGGTCCAGGACCCTGATAATGTATATTTACTGGTTTATTATTTTCTCTCTCATTTGGAAGCATAGAGATTACTTGTTTTGCTCATTGTTCACTATATCCGTAATCATAAGAACAGTATTTGGCATATGCAAGGCATTCAATAAATATTTGTTGAATGAATTTATTGAGTTGCTACTGTGTCAGGAATTGTGATAGCTGCTAGAAGACACAAGAATTCCGCCTCCCAGATGGAAAAATTAAGAAGAGAAGGGACTTTCTTGGTGCTGTTCCAAATGGAAGCAGTCTCTCTATTTTCAGACATTTGGCCTTTAGTTTACAAAAGACAGTGTGTTTCAGAATACAAGTACTCTTGATTTGACTTTGCCTGTCCTTTTGTCAGAAATGGGCCTTTAAAAAGGGATTAAATTGACTCTTTTTGCCAGCATTTGGTCTCTCTGTGCTTAATTTTCCGGATTCAGAAGATAAGCATGGCACCATGATACCTAACAAATGGATGTGCAGAAGAATACACTCCCTGACTGCGTGAGTGTGCTCAGGCTGCTGCAGCAGGCACCACAGACTAGGGGGCTTCCACAACAGGAATTTATTTTCCCTCAGTTCTGGGGGCCAGGAGTCCAGGGTCCAGGTGGCAATTGGGTTGTTTTTTTACGAGGCCTCTCTCCTTGGCTTGTAGTTGGCCACCCTCTCCCTATATCTTCACATGGTTTTCCTTATGTCTGAGTCCTAACTTCCGCTTCTTATAAGGATACCAGTCATACTGGACCAGGGCCCAACTCCATCACCTTATTTTAATTTAATTATCTCTCTTTTTTTTTTTTTTGAGATGGAGTCTCATTCTGTCACCCAAGTTGGAGTGCAATGGCCTGGTCTCAGCCCACTGCAACCTCTACTTCCTGGGTTCAAGTGATTTTCCTGCCTCAGCCTCCTGAGTAGCTGGGACTACAGGTGCCTGCCACTGCACCTGGCTAATTTTTGTATTTTTAGTAGAGACAGGGTTTCACTATGTTGGCCATGCTGGTCTCGAACTCCTGACCTTGTGATCTGCCTGCCTCAGCCTCCCAAAGTGCTGGGATTACAGGCATGAGCCACCATGCCCGGCCTTTAATTATCTCTTTAAAGGCTCTATTTCTAAGCACAACTACAGTCTCAGATATTGGGGGTTAAGACTTCAATACATGAATTTTGGGGGGACAGGGGCTATTGGGGGTGGAAGATGATACATTTCAGTTCATAGCACTAACTCTAAAGAACTTGACTTTACAAAATGGTGATGTCCAGGCCCACTCCCTGCTGTCTCTTGCCTTCTGTGACTGCCTCCTTTTGCTCTTCTCCTTGGCCCCAGACCAAAACCAGCAAGGCAGTCAGAACAGGTCACAGAGGAATCCAGAAATCCAAGAAGAGGGTTTTGTACCAAGCAAATAAAAGAAACTATCATCCCTCTGAGGTTCCTTGTTTAAATTACCATGTTTATTTACATCAACACAAAATACAATAATAAACACGACAAAACCGTTTTATCTTCAGGTAACATAACTCTTCAGTGAACAGAAGTACTACTGTTAATGTTTTGGCCTTTCCAAGGTCCCGCCTGGGGTCAAAACAGTTTTCAGAGAAAGAGCAGATTCTTCTCTACCTTCCTAAAACACACACAAAGGTAACTTCTATTTTCTAAAATCCCATTCCAGTAATAATAAAAAAAAAAACACAACAGTAAGTCCATGCAGAGGAGAGGATTGCTGTTGTGTCATCAGCGTTGCAACCTGTATGTTGCTGTAGATTTCCCCCAGGTTCTGTGCATCAGTCAGGAACATAAAGGGTATATTAGTCCTTTGGATTTTCAAGGTGATTGTTCAGTAATTCTTTCATCTAGCCGTGTACTCCATAAAGGTCTGATTTACCTGAGTTATTTTAAAACCAGCAAAAAAAGAGTCTCCAAGTGATCGAATGTATATGGATCTATGTTGTAGAACTGAAGAAACTTATAGATTTTGCTGTGACAATTCAATGGACAACCACGAAGCCTCCACTACATAATGAACTATTCACCTAGTAAAAGCTTCACATTACAATTTAATCAAAGGTCATAAACATTGCGCAAAAGTACAATATCTCATCTGTATGCCAGTAGTTTAAATGCTATTTGCTTAGTCTCAAATACATTTTCAAACAAATGACAGTTATCGCTTAACTAACACAATCTTTCTATTATTTCACTGACAAAAGAGGCAGTTTCCTGCAGTGGAAAGAGAAGATGGCTTGGTGTTAGAAGATCTAGATTCTGAACCCAGCTCTACTCACTCTGAGCCTTAGTTTCCTTATGAGGATCAAGTGAGATGAAAGTGCTTTGTAAAGGAGTAATAACCATAAGAAATAATATTCTAGAGTCCATCTCTTCCATCAACTGATGGATCCCTAATTTGCACATATATTTTGCAAGTAAAATCTTACCTCTTAAAGTAAATGTATGATGCATATTCACCACATGCAGCTGAAATGTGCAAGTTGGGTTACACAGATGGGAAAAGAGTATGTATTAAAAAGCCTTTAAGACTTGTATACTTTTGATGTACTTGATTTAGAGCCATTTAAAATTTTATTGTGTTTGTGGCTCACGCCTGTAATCCCAGCACTTTGGGAGGCCGAGGCGGGCGGATCACAATGTCAGGAGATCGAGACCACGGTGAAACCCTGTCTCTAGTAAAAATACAAAAAATTAGCCGGGCGCGGTGGCAGGCGCCTGTAGTCCCAGCGACTCAGGAGGCTGAGGCAGGAGAATGGCGTGAACCCGGGAGGCGGAGCTTGCAGTGAGCCGAGATCGCGCCACTGCACTCCAGCCGGGAGACAGAGCGAGACTCCGTCTCAAAAAAAAAAAAAAAAAAAAAAAAAAAAAAAAAAAAAATTTATTGTGTTTAACACAGGTTCCTTTTATATTATAGGAGTGTTCTTTGAATAAGCTAACCATTTAAAGTATTTTTTTAAAGAAACTTTTGTGTGACAGTTACAGGGTTTAAAAGACTGCGCAACTGAGTGAAATGGATTGAGAAATATGGGGGAAGTAACAGTTTGAAAACTCAGGGTCAAAAAGGAAACTGAGTGTAGAATATTGTTTTTCAGGTAATTTAAAAATAAGCTAAATGATAGGGTTGTTATCTTTTTATTTTTATAGGTGACTTCTTAATTTATAAATTACTTATTCCTCATTTGTAAAACAAATAAAATATTTGTGTACTTAACGTTTAGGTGTGTATAAATTCACAAAAATTATTAACACTTAATGTTCAGTCTTATATTTGGGGTATCTTCAGAAGAATTGCAACTTCTTAGCTGAAGTAAAATCAGAATGTCATTTCTCAGAGATTTCAAAAAATTATCCTTCAAGAGAGGGCATATTTCCTACAAGTTTAGAATTAATTGGCAAGTATAGATATACAATGTGAGTATATGGGCTTTGTGACTTTGCTGAGACAAAGAACTCAGGTAGCTGCATTCCTGAAACAAATGAGCTTCTAATTTCAAACATTTTTCAAATGCAAATCAGGCCCCCATGAATCATTTTGATGATTTTTTTGAAGCATTAATGCAACAGAGTTAGTATTCCTCAAATGATCCCCAAAGTCACCTCTTTGCTAAGGATATTTCTCTTCTTGATTATTTTGAACCTGCCAACAGTCTCTCACCTTCATGTAGAGGATAACTTGTCTGCAAATGTCCTATTATTGTCTTAAACCAACCTCATTTTGAAGCAACAAAGATAAAAAAATTATATAGTGCATTAACATTTCATACCAGTGAAACAGACTTTTTTCATGCATAAAGTAGTTCTATCCATCTGTGGAAAGGTCCACCTTTTGTTTTTCCCTGTGTTTATAAGTTACATTTTTAAAAGTACTCGTGGAGCCTCTGTAGAGTGGATTGGTTCCCTGAAAAAAAAAAAAAAAGATTCAAGTGAAAATATGTACATTTTGTTATTATACTGTTTTAATACATAGTGCAAATGGAAGAGCAGAGTCAAGCTCAATCTTGGAAACTATTAGAACGATTTTGATTAATTTGGTATTTCATACATTTAGTGTTTTGCAATTTATACATTTTCATTTTGTTAAATATACAGAACATGTCCCATATGTATATTCTAAAAATCTTACCTCTTTTGGTAAAGCACAAATTTACAGATAGAAAACAAGGCTTCAGCTATTGTGCTCACTGCTGTTTTCCCAGCACTGAGTCCCTGGCCCAGAGCAGGTGCTCAGTATGTATGGAATGAGTGGCGCGAACAGTGATAGATGAACCAAAAGTGAAATCAAAGCCAAAAAAGTAAAAAACAGGAAAAGCGAAACTGGTAGAAACATAAAAAAATGAACGACACAGTATCTGCCTTTAACAAACGTGTTACTGATGAGAAGCATCAAACAAGGTCACAAATAAACATGCTGAGATCAGATCAGATCAGATCAAAACTCTGGGTAGCCAAAGAACCAGCTGTCTTTTGCTTACTATGTAAAACAGTGTGTAAGACAACCACAAGAGACTGTTATGGAGGACCCTGGGGTCATGAAAGAGTGGCAATCCAAAGGCAGGGCAGGAAATATGGCTTTGCCTTGGGGGCAGTGGGGAGGTTGGGTGTGGGACTTCTGGGTAGCTCTGCTGTGCTGCTTGGGCTGTAGATGTGCCTCCAGGTGTCAATAGCAGTGGTGCTGTGGTCAAAAGGACCAGAAGGTCCAGAAGGATCAAGCCTCTTTAGTTGTTCCAGGCAGGAGGAAGGTGTCTGGGTAAGGTACAGTTTCTTCTCTCCCACTTTCCAAGGCTGACCACACAGGCTATGGCAACAGACAGTCTGGGTCCAAAGCCAGCTCCACCACATGACCGTACTGAAGCCACTCTGAGCCTTGGTGTCCATATCTGTGCCTACCTTATCCAGGTGAAGTATTTTAGCACTGTGTGTAGCACATAGCAAATGCTCCATAAATGCTGCCTCTTCTCATTAGTTCCTGTTTATAGCTTTTCTTCACATTTGGAATTTCCTTTTCTTTTAGGTTTTACAGAGGATTATTAAGATATTTTCCCCCAGGGCTTTGGTACACTTAAGATTTCTAAGCCCATTACTGAGTATGTATGGAATCCAGGTACTGCCTCTGACCTTCTAAGTTAAAATCTTACACTTTGATCACCTCATTCAATGAATTATAGCTATGGTAACAATTTCTAGGGGTGGATTTGAAAAAGAACATGATTGTCTTTGCTTGCTCAGTACATTTCTTTCAGCTCTTAGAAGAACGGAATAAAACTGGAAACACTCCCTGGTCTTTCCCAGTCACTGGCCTCAGTGCCCTCATTGTGAGTGGGAATCACAGCTGCACCTGCTTCTGTGTTGTCCAGAGCCAGTGGCCTGACCTCTGGTAAGTGGCATGTTACTTTTGCTCTGTGCCTTTAAAGAGATACGCTATTTCTATCATAAAGCCAAACAGAAAAGAGGTTTCTTGGCTGATGGTGGATGATGGGTGAAAGCTAAGTTGGTATCGTGCTTCTATTCCTGAGAGCAGCCTGGTTAATTCTGAGGGACCTCCAGATCTTATCTAGTCCTGCTGCCCTAAGAATTTGAGATTTTGAAGGCAAAAGGCAGACTGATGTGAATTTAGATGTAGATGGAGTCTCATTTGCAAACAAAAATCATGCATGGAATTCTATTAAATTTGAGAGACTAGAATCTAGTTGGTTACAGGAGAATGAGGGACTCAATTGAAGAAGCAAGATGGAAAAAAGTAAGAGGTTTAGGCCAGCAATGACAGGGTAAGCCTGTCCTGGAGGAAGTTCTCGCTTCCTCCAGGAAGCTCCCACCTTTGTGAACAGAAAAGACACTTGGAAAGAGGACACAGGTTGTGAGCAGGGCCAGCTTAGAGCTCTGTAGCACCAGGTACTTGTTTGTAGGTGCACCCTATATCATGTCAAACATATTGCAATACACCCATATCCCACACTTGAGTGTGACTTGAGTTGCAACTGACAAGATAACACAATGTTATTTAGTAGATATTTAGTTGAATGTTTAATTTTTATGGCAGAATTTTCATTCTGTATTTTAAAGCAACTTCTGTATTTTAAAGCAACATTCTGTATTTTAAAGCAACTTCATTCATTCAGGTCTGCAATATTTTGGGAGTCCCTTGCAAAACTGGTTTAGGGCCAAGACATTGCTTATAGGGAGTGATGGGTAAAGCAGACTTCACAGAGTAAGAGGGTAAGGTGGAAGTGTAAAAGTGGATGAAGAGCAAGTACATATTGCTGTTGTGTGTGGCAGGGTATTTTCTGGCCTTAGCTGAAGATCAGAGGTCAGGATAATGCACTCGCGTTGGGTTTTGTTCCAGGAGGCGGTGTGGAAATGTCCACACCGCCTCCTCTAGTGCTCTTCTGACTATAACCTCTCTACACAGACTTTCCAGGAGAAATGCAGGCTTGAGTCCTGCTCTATTTCAGGTGAGTGTGCAATCCACTGCTCAGAAAAGGTCAGTTTTCCCCTAACCATCTGGGGTGACCAGGCTGATTCCCCCAGGAGTCTGGGAGTGCTAATTTAGGCTTGGATTTTGCAAATGCAATGGCACATTTTTCAAGATTGAAAAAGTGGTAATAGGAAAACTCTGTCATGACCCACAGCTTCCTTAATGATCGACCAACTGCCAAATGCAGACCTGATTTGCTTAGCACAGTACAAAATCAATCCATGACTGCAAGAAATGTCAGGCTGAACATTTTTTTTTTGCCTCAAGTTAATGACTTGTCATCCTAGAAAAAAAATGTCTAATCAAAGAAGAATTTAAATATGTTTCATTTGTGTTTTCATAAAGAATATGTGGGGGTGGGCATTATTTTTAAAAGCATGATAAAAAGATAACCTTTCTTTACAGCTGCTCTGAAATGTTTTAGGAGGTAGGAGTGGAGATCCTTCTGTCTTAAGCCCTGTCACTTTATGAGTCCAATGCAGTCCTATGGCCAGGAGGCCTGACTGTCCCGATTGTCCCTGGAGGGCACCGGGTTTCGAAGACCAGTCAAATTCACTTCTTCGAGAAGAAATAGGTTTTAGAGAAAACACTCAATTAAATTGAAGACCTCCAAACGTGTGCAGTGAGCGACATTTTTTTCCAGTAGGACGTTAGTGAAATTTAAACTGAATTATTTGAGTTAAACCTTTTTTGAATCCAAGTGAATAATTACTATCCAGTCATTATCTAGTCAGGAACATCAAACATTTGTTATTCAAAGAAACTCAGTTTAATAAGGGAATAATATTTTCCACTTATGCTTTTTGTTTCTGTTTAATGCATGTTTGGGTCGCATGTTAGATGAAGAAACAGCAAAAATTCAGTATTTGAATTTCAGTCATGTTCTACATCCTGAGGGAGAACGATTCATGTTTTTGGGGAAATTAACTGTTAATTAAAACGTTATTTTAAAGATATTAATCACTTGTCAGTATTTATGCCTCTGTATGAGAACACTGAAATGTGCTGGTTAGTAGATACACATCACGTAATTGCCCAAGTGTGTGTTTATGGAACACCTGCTTATTATTTCTAGGAGGGTCAACCAAAGGCTGTGCTTAGAAGAACAATGAACAATTAGGCTTCAGCTTAACTATGCACCAAAAGTTAGGGAAGTCCCTTAACTTCTCTGAGCCTCAGTTTAGCTCCTCAAAATGGAAATACCAGGATTATGTCATGGGGCTTGCTGCTATTGTCCTTTGTGGCAACTTAACCACATTCTTTTACCAGGTTGCCCTTCTAACCATCACAAGGCATTTGTTGGAGAGTTGATAAAAGTCAAAAATAAACACCTGTGGCCAGGGGTCAGGTGAAGTGAACTGTCCTACAACTTTGGGCTTATTAGTACTGTGTTCTAAGTCACCAAGCTAACCTATCTGTTTACCTTTACGTTGTTAGGAATGAGTAAATTATATCTTCTCCTGAGGAATTTTGCTTAATTATGGAAAACACATACATTCACAAAAAGAGGAAAGCTATATAACAAACCTCCAAAGACCTATCATTCAGACTCAACAGTTATCACAATTCTGTCACACCTGCTTCAACTATCCCTCCATCCCACTCTCTTGGCTGAATTATTTCAAAGCGAACCCCAGCTTTCATCTCCTTTCACTCCTTCAGTATGCATCTCTAAAAAATATGGATATTTTCTAGCAATGTCACCATGCCATTATCATACTTAATGAAATTATACTTACTTGCTATCATTTTAATACCCAGCATGTATTAATCTTTTTTTCCGTCGTTTCATGTATTTATTATTTATTTTGGAGACTGGGTCTCACTCTGTCGCCCAGGCTGGAATGCAATGGCATGATCGTGGCTCACTGCAGCCTCGATCTCATGGCTCAAGTGATCCTCCTGCCTTAGCCTCCCAAGTAGCTGGGACTACAGATGTGCACCACCATGCCTGGCTAATGTTTGTATTTCTTTTTGTAGGGACGGGGTTTTGCTGTGTTGCCCAACTCGAACTCCTGAGCTCAAGTGATCCAATCCTCCTGTCTTGGCCTCCCAAAATTCTAAGATTACAAGTGTGAGTCACCATGCCTAGCCTTTTTCCAGTTGTTTAAAAAATGTATTTTTACAGGAGGACTGTTCGAATCATGATCCAAACAAGATCCATACATTGCATTTGGCTGTTGTATCTAGCACATTTTTAATGGGAAGATAAAGTAGATAAAAATTTTCACTGTTGATTGTTCTGTACCATATATTATGATTAATTTAGAATAACTGCATACAACATAAACATCCCTTATCAAGATAAATTTATCAAAAATGGAAAATTCCATTTGCTTTAGGAATTGAAGGCATTGCTATAAAAATTGTTAACATCAAATTATTTGCATGGACAAATCCAAAGGAGCATTGTGTCTGCCTGCATTTTCTCCAGTGATGTCATTGTTGTTAGAATCAGCAATGTAAGATAATTGCTGTTAGATACCTGGACACGCCATTAGAGGTAGAGAGATGAAATTAAAACCATGAAATTGTTTCTATGGGTCTCTAGAAATGTAATTCTCTCTCCTGTGGAAAAGAAACACAGAAAACTATAGTCCTGCCTTCTGCTTGCCTCTTGTGAAGAGAAGGCACTTAAATTATTCCTATTGAGTTTATGTATTTAAAGGTTAATACTTTTGGGCTTTTCTTCAGGTCTCTGTTTAAAATTTATGTCATTAAGAAAAAATAACTACATGGCATTTAAAAAATCATCTCAATTTTGCTTTGTAACCGATTAGATCAGTAACAAGTATTTCCATAGAAATTGGCATGAATTATCATACTACTTATGAACATTATTCCATTCATTATAACATAACCAATTTATGGAAATGTTTAGATACAGCACCCGTGCTTTATCAAATGGGGCCTGAGGGATAATTCCTAGTGGTGAGGAAGCACTGGTAAAAACATACTTCCCTGATGTCCCTAAGCAGCTGTCTCAGGAGCCTCATGAGACTCTTCATCATGGTGGAAATCCCCACTGCACTGAGACAAATCTATGCTATGAGGGTCATCTGGGTCCAGATAATGGATAGAGGTTCCTTTGCCCCCGAAGCAGAACAGAAATCAAAGCTGTTGGGGTCATGGCAAGAGTGGGAGAGAAAAACTGTGACACTTGAACTCTCAGAGCAGAAGAAAGCTGAGCCCCTCAGTTTCTTCCACCAGCCTCTTTCTCCCCTAGACAAGGAGTAGCCCTAAGTTTCCACATACCGTTTGCCACTTGGCTTTTGACCGTTCTGCTTCAAATTTGGCAACTTCTTTACGATCATGAAATGACACCAGCAGCTTCCAGATGCACAGCAGGACAACCCCGATGAGAAGAATAGCCAGGGAAACCCCCAACATGATCATGGGAATGTTTGGAGGCTTTGGACAATCTGCAGAAATAAAGAAAATTATAAAAAGGTGGTAAAATCAACATTTTGACATTGGAAAGGCATTTCTTGTTGGATTTTCCATCTACTTTTTCTGCAGCAGAGAATAAATATTGATACCATTTTTGCTTTGCTTAAATTTTAAAAATGAGTTACTTGTTGAAGGATAGCCCTGCATTCCTTCAAAGTAGAACAAAAGATAAAGGAAGAATTTAGTTATTCAAAGTAAATGTATATAGACTTGATGGCTGACTCTAAAAGAGAATCCAAAAAGTGATAATTAATGCACATGGAATATTTAAAGGATTAAGAAAAAAGACTAGTTTAATCACTAAAAATGGTCTCTTCTGAGTCCATGATAATGTAGAAATGGAGTGTGTGTGTGTGTGTGTGTGTGCGCGTGTGCTGCATGTGATCAGTTTTTCATGGACCTTCTTGAATCATGGGGAGTCTAGAAGACTACATTAAAATTTACATAAAACCTATCCCTTGAAAAAATTACTATTTCCTTCTTTCTTTATAGACAGAAGACAATGATAGGTTTCAGTTCTATTTTGTTGAACCCTAATGCAGTAGTCTGGTTTTGGGGAAGTTCCTGGACTAGATTCAGGAGAGGTGGATTCAATTCCCATCTGATGTACAGTAGCTGTGTGAATATGATCCAGTCCGTTGACCTCTCTGAGCCCCAGGCCCTTCACCTGTAAAACAAAGTTCAGTGTTCCCTTAACTTTTCTGATGATAACAATAAGCTGAAGTGTTCTTGCTTACTAACACGGCTTCCTAGACCCTTTCCCCAATATTCTGATTCAGTGGGTCTTGGATAAGGCCACCGATTTTGTATTATTAAATATTCTAAATGATTCTTATTTTCAAGCAAGTTTGGGAAATTAGATGTTCTGTAGGGTCCTTTCAACTTGAATATTCTCTGAAATGTTATTTTGACTCTATTGATGATATTAATGTAATTTTGCCATTATACAGTACCTTTCCTAATTCACAGCAGAATGACTAATAGTCCTTGCAATATGCCTAGGAGATGATACATTTATTAATGAAACATTATAATTATGCTCTCCTCTTACTTTCATGGAAAAAAAATCCCACATAACATTATTGCTAGATATCTGCATCCCTCTGCAAGAAATGAGGCAAAATCCATGGTATCTGGGGAGGAAATGAATGATGCTTAACTTATCCTAAGTCTTACTGCTTTTAGAGATTTAATAAGGAGAGTTATACACATATGACTAGTCATGCTGTCTTTAAGGTAAGGATCTGGAGTCGATGTGAATCTGAGTAGGACTAATTACCCACTAACAGCATGATGCCTGGCCTCACACACTTTTGTTCTTTGGCCAAGAAACCATGTAAAGAGATTATGCAGAAGTAAGAAAAGGAGCTAATGACATACCTATTACTGTATGAAGATCTAAAGACTATATTCTCGCATAGCAAATGAACCATAGCTGCCTCTAATGGGTTAGCACATTCCTGCAAATAAAACAGCAGGCTTGTGTCATGAGAATATATACTGGCTACATCTTTGGCTAAGAAATGCCTGGGGTGGGGCATAGTATGCTCCTGCTCAAAGCAAGATGAAGCTTGCTACAATCCTGCACCTAGACATGAATTAGGAGGGTTCTCCAGAAGGGACTAAAGAAGAAATGGGTGCGGTCTGACAGAGATAATTAAGAACTGAAAGTCTCAGAAATTGTACATTTCTCAATTAAAGATTTTGGTCCAAGTGCCAGAGCAGGTCTTACACAACAGAGATCTTCACTTTTCATACTCAGATGTTTCTTGAGATGCTCAGACTGCGAATGGATTTCTACATGGAAGAAGAGGGTCACCTCTATCACTGTGTGCAATGTGGCCTATTGAGTCCAGGTTGGGGCAGCACCTACTTCTAAGGTCCTGGGTATCTAACTCGGCTACATGCATTGTGCAATCTGGTAGCTCAATGTGCCTATTGAGTGCTTGAAATGTGAGTTTTCCCACGTAACTTATGCTGTAAGGGTGAAATAAACACTGATTTTGAACACTTGGTATGAAAAAAACGTAAAAAATCTCAGCTTTTGGCCGGGCGCGGTGGCTCAAGCCTGTAATCCCAGCACTTTGGGAGGCCGAGACGGGCGGATCACGAGGTCAGGAGATCGAGACCATCCTGGCTAACACGGTGAAACCCCGTCTCTACTAAAAATACAAAAAAAAAAAAAAAAAAACTAGCCGGGCGAGGTGGCGGGCGCCTGTAGTCCCAGCTACTCCGGAGGCTGAGGCAGGAGAATGGCGTAAACCCGGGAGGCGGAGCTTGCAGTGAGCTGAGATCCGGCCACTGCACTCCAGCCCGGGCTACAGAGCAAGACTCCGTCTCAAAAAAAAAAAAAAAAAAAATCTCAGCTTTTATATTGATTACACGTTGAAATGACAATATTTTCGATAACATGGTAAATAAAATTCATTTTACCTGTTTCTTTGACTTTATAATGTAATTACTAGAAAATTTTAAATTATATATAGGGTTTGCCTACCAGTTCTGTTGGATGATGCTGATCTAACATCCTTTTGTGATTCAGATATGTATGATGATTGTATAGCCAGTAGGAGGCAGTAGAGCACAGTGGTTCAGAGCACGGGCTCCAGGCCAGGCTGCCAGAGCTCCTCCACCAGCTCTGGCACATAATTACTGCCAGACCTAGCAAATTATTTAATGTCTCTATGCCTCAATTTCCTTACCTTTAAAATGAAAATAATAGTGGTACCTGTTTTATATGGTTGTTAAGAATATTAAGTGAATTATGTAAAATATATAGAACATCTGGCAAATGGTATTAGTAAGGGCTCAAAAAATGAGAGCTGCTATAATAATTAATATTACTATTGTTACAGCAAATACAGCACTCTTTCCCCTTTTCTATCCTCATCACCTCAAGGACCTGGAGCCTCTAAGTTGGAACCTGTGGGTATAGCATCTACCCTAGCTGGAACTTTCCAGCCAGGAAGCCTTCCTGCCTATCATTCCTTGACTCTGTTGTGGCTCTTATGCTCTGAAAGTCCCTCCAGATGGTGGGGGTAAGAAAGAAGATGAAAGAAATCACCTGTGTCTACGCACCCTGGTGGCAACCCTTCACTCAGCTCTTTTTTTTTCAATTTGCTTAGAGGACCCTGGGGATCAGCCCCTTTCTCTCTTCTCAGTTTGCCTCTTCTACCGAAGCCTCCACCAGGTCACCCTGGGATTTTCTAGTCTGAAAGCTGTGAGACGGGAGACAGGAGGGACTATGGACTTCTGGGGACAGGTTCTGCTCTGCTGGCCCCTGGAAGCGCCAGGCCTACCCAACCATGCGGACATTTGTTGAGGAAGAGGGAGCCTGGAAGCTGTCAGGTGACTCTTGTTAAGCCTCAGGGAGGTAATTTTTCCCCTCACTTTTCCCCACTACAAAAGCATGGGGATAATAACACGCCATAGTAAAAAGCATCAGGGCATCTGTGTGTGCTCTGCAGAGTGGCATGTTGCGGTGCCACTCGTATTGTGTGGAAGAATAAAAGAACAGACAACAGCTCAGTAATGAGGAGGCATTTAGCCCAAGGCATGTTTCACTGAAAAAAAAATTCATCAACTAGATACAAAAGTCTCTGAATTAAAAGCAGGACTTATTCTGGAAATTTGTTTTTGTTGTTTGAAACTCGTTTTTTTCAATAGAATCAATACGATAAGGGATGACTTTGATTTCAAGATAACTTGCTAAAGCCACTGCCACAGTCACAGAGGGTTGGGATTGTAGTTGGAGAATTTTATTTTATCAGACAGATAATGAGCAGGCAGGCTTTTTTTGGTATTATAAAGTAATTCTTCCTTGTACGGCAGGATTCTCCTTATGTTTCCCTAATGAATGGCCATAAGACTCATTTTATGTATGCATTTCAAAGGAGTTGATTTACATGAGAGCTTTCCAGAGCAAGTCTCCAGGGGCACTCAGCATACCTGAGCTTCAAGGCCAAGTTCACAATCATCTTCAGATTCCTTGGATTGTGCCAACCTCTATCTCTCCCTTGCTCTCAGCAACTGCAATGTGACCTTTTTCTGATCATGTTTTCTTGATTGGGATATAATTGTCTTGAACCTACTTTTTGGTTCCGTTGACATTGCTGTGGTTTTTATGTTCTAAAGTGATGCCAATTTGATACTTTTGGTTTCAAGTTCAGGACTTAATATTTTATCAGCATACCAATAAGCAAGCAGGTACAACAAAACACACCTATCTGCCTTATGGCCTGGCCCTGTCGCTGTTGTCTGGGGCAGAACTTAGACTCCAAGCTTTTGCGGGGAGGAGGAGGTTGCAAACAAGGTCTGATGAGGTCTGATTTAATGTAGCTGTCATATCTGCAGAAATGGTTTAGGGAGGAACACATCACTGATGAAAGACAGAAAATATGAGGCACCTGTGAGTGCCTCGTATTTACCTGTGAGTAAATGAGAATGCAGTCCGTGTTAGGGCTGTCGCTCACAGGGAGATCTTGGGACCATTTGTATCAGGCTTGCCAGGGTAGTTGTTAAAATGCAGAGCCCTGGGCCACACATTAGATGGTGTTGACTCAGGATATAAGCATTTTTAACAAGTTCCCCAACGAAGTCTGATACCCACTAACATTTGAATCCCTCTCAATCAAAGTATGAATACCTTCTCACCTACTTTCTTCTCTACTAAATATAAACTTCTCTCTCCCCTTCACTGATGCAAAATGTTTAAGGCTTTCCCAAGTCCAGAACTGACTCTATGAGTTGGTGTGGATGAAAATCCACAGGAGCAATGGACACCTTGACATCCTTCCTCATTTGCTGCTTAATGTCTTTTCTGATTCAGCATCATCATTTGATGACCCATTACCGAGAGTTAGGTATTGCCACTATTTTATGTGCATTATTCCACTTAATCCTTGAGTCAACACTTAGAAAAAGTACTATTATCTGTTCCATTTTACAGATGAGGAAATAGAGACTCAGAGATTCAAGTGTCTTCCAGAATGTCACTCAGCTATTAAATAATGGAGAAGGATTTGAACCAAGGTTTGCCTGATTCACACTCTTAAAAAAAATGGACACAATTCTCTCTGTTACCATTTCCTAAAGATAGACCTTTTGCTTACATTTCATTTAATTCACTTACCTTTCTATAATTCATCAGTCAGCTTTCAGGAAGATGATGACTGCTGCAACTCCAACTCCAAGTCATCTTAGCTGGTTTTTTTTTTAGTCTCACTCTGTGCAGTGGCGCGATCTTGGCTCACTGTAACCTACACCTACCAGGTTCAAGCAGTTCTTCTGCCGCAGCCTCCCAAGTAGCTGGGATTATAGGTGCAGACCACCACGCCCAGCTAATTCTTGTATTCTTAGTAGAGACAGGGTTTCATCATGTTGGCCAGGTTGGTCTCCAACTCCTGACCTCAAGTGAACTGCCCACCTCAGCCTCCCAAAGTGCTGGGATTACAGGTGTGAGCCACTGTGCCTGACCCTTATCTGGTCTTAATAAGAGACACTGGAACATACTGAATCTTCTAACTGGCATCTTTCAATCCTTGGGAAACTTTAAGAAACTTCATCAAAAATTTGGAAATGTCTTTCCTGGTTTGCTACCCAGAGCTATTTTCTGGTTGCTTTCTCTTCTCCTGTGTAGTGTCATTTGCCATGGGCAGTGGAAAGGAAACCACTCACCTTTTTCACTGATGCTGTGAATGATGCTTTTCCCCTCATTATCTGTAGTTATCAGGAATGTAATAAGACATTCATTTTCTCCTTGCAGAGAGCAGGAAACAGAACCATCCTTTGAGAAATCTGTAAATAAAGGAGTCATTCATTAGGTTAAAAAGATTCCAAAAGAGATTATTTTTAAAACAAAGTGGTATTGAGTTTTAATATGTAAATCAGAGTTTTCAATAGTGCAGAATGAGAATAGGAAAGGCATAGGGTTTTTTTTCTCATGAAGTGAGGTTTTAGTTTTTACTCACGTTCCAGAAGAACAGTTCCAGATGTGGTCAATCAGGACTGACCATCAAACGCACCTATCAAACGGATATGGGCAGGATTGCAACAGGCTGAACATACTTCAAGGCAGGTACCCACAGCTGCCTTGGGAATAGAATGGCCCTGATTATAGTAATGAGGGGGCTATAGGTTCTTCTTTGCTGGGAGCATGAAGGATGTCTAGATTACATTTCTGCACAGTTCAAGCTGATACTGATACTTTTAAAGGGGCCTTTCTCACAATGGCATAGTCAAGATGCTGGCCATGTATTGTGGAACAGTAACATAAATTAATATCAGGAAACTGAAACTGAAGCATTATGTAGCTCAGGGACAAGAAGGATAAAGGTAAATGAATCCACAGTGACAGTTTGTCTATCATTCAGTAGAGCTCCTTTCTTAATTTGAAAAAAAAAATCCAGTTTCCCTCAAATATTTTCCAAGTGGGAATTCTTCCTTATTGAGCTCATTCAAGAGGCAGAAAGTGAATGTCATGACAGAAATTAAAAGTAAAGTAAAATGGCCAGAGATGCCAGTACTATCTACCAGAAATTTTAGTAGTCCAGGACCTATGCCAAAATTATGTGGCATTCTCCTGATTAAGAAAACCAAACAAATTTGCTTAACTGTTCTCCTATCTTTTAAGTTGGAGACTTTTCAATGATGTTTACAAACACTGTTTTTCAGAAACCTGTAAGTAGAAGTCCTTTTGCTCTTATTCTAAATATTTAGGACATGCGTCCAAAGTTAGTGTGTTATGCTACAATGGATCAGAGCATTAAAACTGGGGCTGCCCCTGATAATCTTGGACATACTCCTACTAGATTTATAATCTCTCTCATTAGCTTAACAATAAAAACATGAATAAAGCAGAATCAAATGTGTTCTCTGATTCTAACAAAAATTAAATAATAGTCAGTTTTTGGTAGAAAAATGCCATAGCCGTAGATGGAAATATTAAGTTGCTGTTTGCTGTCTTCACATTTTGTTTGAAATGAAAAACCTGACAGTGTCTGTGAGAAGTCTGCTTTGGATTATCTATGAAAACAGGAACCAGCAAGACATTTAGCATTATAAATAAGATTTTGGATGATAGATTTAAGTGTACAAACTGTTTTTGAACCCATTAGTAATATCTATTACATGGGAATATTAAGAAATCTAATTACAAATCATCCTAGTCTAGACATTGCCAAATGATTATGGTCATCTAAGTCACCTGGGAGTTTTGAAAATATAGATTCTGGGGACCCACCCTTGGGTACTCTGATTTGAGAGGCTGGTTGTACAGGAGCTTGTACACTTAGTGAGTTGTTTAATAAGTATTTAATCTCCTTTTTTTTAAAAAAGGAGATTCTGATTACGAGATTTGGTGAGATGTGTGTTATTTCATATGTTTGATTGCAAATGGTACTGCATATTTAATTCATACATTGGCTATTTTATTTGGCCTTTACCACACCTCCTGTTAACTTGCCACTCCAATTAACTAGGGTTCATGAAATCTTGGGGACTATGCGTTTTCTCATTGGAGTGTTTTCTTGCTTCTTTCCCCCTCTCTGTGAGAACAGTGCAGGCTCACTCTCCTTGCCTTGAACATATTTAATGAAACATTTTATTCTGAGGTAGGAAATATGTGAACTGCTTATCATACTCCTTTCAGTAATATTAACCATGTTTTTAAAAATTTTCTTTCAAATGGCTGCACTGAAGCCTAGAGAGAGGCTTACTTGACCTGGCCGGGGTTATTTAAGTGTTAATGGAATGGCAGAATATGATCTTTGAGTCACAACTTCCATCTTGCTTTAATTACTTCACCACTCCTTTTCGTGATTGCTAAGGCTCTAGATGTAGCCTGTTCCATAGTGTTTGGATATTGAAATAGTATTATCAAATGTGCAACGACAGATTTGCATAATTCGCTGCATAATTTCTTTTGTTGTTCATAGAAAATAGACCTCTCTTTTTTCCCTTCCTTTGTGAATGTCTACAGTGCTGCTCTAGAATAATAGAATGAAAATAAGATGCCAAGCAGTCCATGGAACCATACTCAGAGAAGGACGAAATGTGAAAACAGGGGTGAGGAGGTGGGCCTGGGAAGGTCTGGGGAGGGTGTGAGAAATATAGAGCATCTGCACCACTGAGTCAAGATGGCCATATGTTTAAGACCTCAGCTCTAGGATTAATTAGCAGTTTTCAAAAAGCAAAAGCAAAAACAAACAAACAACAACAACGTTTCCCAAGGAAAGCATAAGGGGTTTATGGTCAGGTAAGTTTGGGAATCCTTTATTCCAATTCCTCCCCTTGCCATTCCTGATGATTCACAATGCACGTTTAATTTAAATGCGTAACAACTCTCAGAAGTCCTGCAAAGAAAACAAGAAACCCAGTTTCCTATTTCTAAGATGTATATTACCAGCGGTGCCTTTTTCCATGTAATGCTTTCATATCTAAGGTTGCATGGAATATACTTTGAGAAACAATTCTCTGAGTACATGTATGGTAGGGTAAATAAAAATATGACTCTCAAGCTGGGCACTGTGGTGCATGTCTGTAATCCCAGCACTTTGGGAGCCTGAGGCGGGCAAGATGACTTGAGCTCAGGAGTTTGAGGCCAGCCTGGCCAACATGGCAAAACCCCATTTCTGCAAAAACTACAAAAAATTATGCTGTGTATGATGGCATGCGCCTGTAGTCCCAGGTACTCATGAGGCTGAGCCTGGAAGGTCGAGAATGCAGTGAGCCTTGATCTTGCCGCTACGCTCCAGCCGGGGAGAGAGAGTGTGGCGTTATCTCCAAAAAAAAAAAAAAAAAAAAAAAAGACTCTCAGTAAAATGGATGAATAAGGTTAATAACATCTCTTTTGATGTGCCCACCCGCAGCACAATTGAGGACAATTCCTACAGATTATATAGTTATGCGAATTTTATTTTACTCCTATTTTCTTTCAAATAGCTGCACTGAAGCCTAGAGAGAGGCTTACTGGACCTGACCGGGGTTATTAAAATAAAATTCCCCGTGTTGGGGGAAGGGTAGGTCGTTAAAAGACAAATACGATGCGATCATTTCAAGGTAGTGTGATCAGTAACATAACTGGGTGAGTAACTTGAAATAAAGCTTATAAAAAGGCTCATTAGAAAAGTGGCTTTTAAACACACAGTCTGAATTAAAAACATTTTTTCTCTCAAATTCATCCAGATTAGTGCTTTAAATGGTATTAGTAATCCAATTTTTATTTTCAATTGTTGAGTTAGAAATAGTTGTATCTCCCTATTTTGAAATAATTTAGTCAAATACACAAAAAGACTAAATATTTTAAATACCACTGTAGCCCTAGTCTTCCTCTTCAATCTCAGCATTTACGATAATCTACTGGAAAAAAACCTGTGTACTTAAATATAGTAAGTACCTTGTTCTTGCCAGTATGATTTACATGTATGTAAGGTTTACTCCTTTTTTTCCTCAACACATTAGATTTCCCATGTTGTTAGTGAATTGAGGCTTAGCAATTTGCAGAGCATTTTCTGCAATTTTTACGCATTTCTCAGAAACACTTGGTAAATATCCCCAGTGCTTGCTGTGAAATGAGCCCAGAAGGTGATGCTAGGACTTTGCACCAGGTACTAATGTGGGAAGTCCACAGAGGCTGCCTGCTTAGTGTTTTCATGTATCTCGCCTTTGGTAGTAGTGTAAGGTGCACACCATCTTGTCCAATGTACTGCTATTTGGCATGTTTATCTTTGGTCACAAGAAAAGCATTGGTGAGGGGTTTTATGAGCACATATCATGACCCTCCATATACGGTAATCCAATTGTGCATAGTCAGAACTCTCAATTTTGAGACAATGTAAGTAATCTTCAAAACAATATAAAGTTCATTAACTCATTCCATGCTGGAAATGGATTAATTTCCGTATTCTAATTCCATCTATTCAAGAGACATATCCTGGAGGGTCACACATTATTAGCTTGATTATTTCGCTTCACCTGAGCTACATCTTGGTCACATCTCTAACGTGTGCAGAGTAGCAATTCTACCCTGAGCCACATGATAATGCAGCGAGTTCAGGATGATACAAAATTAAATTCTCCCAGGTTGTTTCTGTTGGAAGAGTCAGTCATCCCCTTTGTTTTAAAGTCTACAAATTATTGTTTAAAAGGTATTGCCAGTTAAAAAACAAGCGATTTAAATATTTGAGGTGAAACCTTGCCACTAGACTCTGATTCTAAGTAATTAAATTTAAAATGACAGATGAAAGCAAGAGAACTTTGCTTAGCAGTGAAAGATAATAGGTCCTTCTTGTATTTTGGGGGTGAGGCAACAGAGTATTGAGGATGGTCATTGTAATGCCCATTTTTGGAAGGTTGGGAATAAAAGTATATGGAGGGGAGGAAAAATGGCCACTAACCAGAAACCACCCAGTACCTGGGAGCCACCATCTGGAACACTGATTTACGGTTGGCTTTATCTTATCTTGAAATAAAGCAATTGGATGAAAAGGGTGAATTCAAGTTTGCGGGCTAACCTTTAGCCATTTCTTCAATTTTTCTCCCTTTCTAGTTTGAAAAATATAGCATTCTGGAATTCTCTACAGTTGAATTTGTTAAGCAGAGGTGAATTTGGCAACAGAGCTGAAGTCAAATAGAATAGCCACAACTTTGAAATGCTTGTGGCCTGAGCCATCAAGTTCCTAGTCTTATAGGATGCATTTACTCTTAAAAAATGAATGTCAGTGAGCTAATGCTCTGGTACAAATAAGGTCAAGCTACTAAATAGCCCTCGATTCACAGAGGGTCAAGAACTATGCCTCTCAAGAACTACATAAGGAAATAAAAAACAATTTAAGACAAGCAGAACCTTCTTCTTCACTGATGGTCGCACCAGCTAGTTTGCACTTGTCCACACATTCTTCTCGGGCTTGGCCAGCTGCTGACAGGTGGCACTCAATGCAGCTCCTGTGGACAGTATCCAACAGTGTATCAGTTCATGCTGGTGGAAAATAGATTTGCAGCTTGAATATTGCTTTACTGCTGTTGTTGCAGTTTGTGCTATAGGGGTATCTCATAGATGTCATTATCTTTTGTTATTTTCAAAAAGATAGTTGGGTAATGCCCAAGTGAACACTGAATTATTCTGAGTTCCACTCAGTAATCAATGTTCTCTGAACCAGTCTTGATAATAGCTACCATTTTCATTTACCTGTAATGATTGTTCCTGATTGGTTAAGTAAACAATCAAAGAAAATAAATTGATTTAGCTGTTTTCATTTTACTTTTTCCTACAGAGAGCTTATGTTCCTAAAATATGATTAGGGACTAGGAGAAGTTTTGAATTTCTTAACAGAAATGGTCTATACCTTAACCAGAATTCCAAGAATGATTAGTGGACTTTGTATATGTCTTATATGATAATTTTCACAATTCACTTTTCTGTAACTCTTTTGAATAAGTCTAAGTCTTAATGAAAGTGTGGATTAGAGCCTGGATCTCAAAAGCTGTGGATTACAGCCTGGATCCTCATTAATACAGGCTTTTAAATAAAAGATCACTATTTATAGAAAAGTACATTTCCAAGAACATCGTCCAAGAATTAAGCTACTCTAAAGACATCTATAGAGCAAAGTAAAATTTAGACCCTGAATTAATCTTGTGCTGAAAATCACTTTACAAATAGATGGTGCTTGTTGTAATTCAAAAACAGCAGAAGTTTTCTTACTGTGGACACACCTGCTGTCTCTCTCTCCTCTGGCCATGGAAATGTATGCTCTGCTAAGTGCTTGAAACACCCAACCTGCACCCATAACTCAGCAAATCTCAGCTGAAACTGCACTTCCTTAGGCAAACCTTCACTAAACCTTAGACCAATCAGTTCCCTCACAGTGGAAGGCTCAGGATTTTTCCACAGGAAGGGCAACCTATTAGGCAGTGGGGAAGGTTTTACTGTGAAGTTGCCTTGGCATTGCAAATACATTGGATTTATCTAGATCGCATATTTATTTGGAGTGGCTTTGAAGGGGTCTGGTGATTGTGGAAGCTCTTAAAATCTCTTAATCTGTGTGCATCTCACTGATGGCTGCACTAGCTAGTCTGGTAGCCTTATCCCCTGCTGCAGAGTTCCATAGCACTCTCTATTTCCCCTATTAAAACTGTCAGCCTAGGTAGCATCGCAATCACTTTAAAAGATGTCTATCTTTCCCACTAGACTCCCAGCACCTCTGAAGGCAGGAGCTCTAGCTGTTTCAGTCATCATTGCATTGCCCATGACGTAACACGATTCTTGGCATATAGTAGGCACTTAATACCTACTTGATAAATGAATACATGCATGAATAAATGGAAAAATGGATTCATCTCCAAACTAACAGAAATCCCAAGGCGGTCACTCTACCTGATTCCCCAAATTCAAATGGCTTTTATTATTAATTTCCTATCTTGTAATTCAGATTTAAGATTGAATCATGTTTATAGAGAAGATGAAACAGAAAAGTAATAGAAGAAACATCTTGAAGGGACATTTTACATTAGATCCTATTCAAATCATCCTAATCATGTCCTCATGCTTCTCCTGGCATGTGTCTTGTCTTAGTTTGCCAGTGACAGTGGCAGAGAAGTTTTGACACCTGAATGGTGAGTAACCACTGAGTGAAAAATTGCTTTTCTCACTCTGTTTACGTCAGAAATGCAAATGTCACCATTTTGGGCATCAGAGTTCATGAAAATCTGAAATGCTGAAGCCTATTTGCTGCATAATACATTATCCACTGCAATATCATAATAGCCATTTTGGAGGCTCGCTTCACTTGACCTACAAATGTGGCCCCAATTTCATTAAGAAATTGTGAGGTTTTATTGTTGTTATTGTGCATGTGGTATAAAAGAAAACACAATACACAATAGCTGTGTATAACGGCAACCAAAGAAAGGTGCCAAAGAGCATGGGTGGTAAAGCAGCAGGAGAGAATTGAAAGCTAAGATCATCTTTCTGCCTCTTTGTCTCTGTCAGTCTACAGATAGGAATGAACCAGTAAGGTCAGGCTATAAACTTCCAGATAAGAAAGAAGCTTGTCTGTTTCCCCTGAAAAGCTACTGACTGCATGTGGGTGTCATCCGTCTACCTCCAGGGCATTCCTTCTGTGTGGCTGCTATTGTAATGGAGAGGTGATCTGATGTTATCAGTGTGGGACACCAGCTCGGTTTCCCCATGCTACTCTGTAGCAGAAATGTGACATCGTGATTCTGGATAACCAGGACTGAGAAAGAGGTAAGCTAGAGACTGATGTTCCAGGCTGAAGATCACAGAGACCCTGTGGGTTTGTGTGTGTTTTGATGGATGTTTGGAGACCAAACCAGCAAATACAATCTGAGGTCTGAGTTTACAAAATGCCATTGTAAATTTGATCACTATAAACCTATCCACAAAAGGAATGGACGAAAGCAGAGACATTACCGTTTAGAGTTACAGGGGTCACCACAGGTAGGACATCGTTCACAGGTTGGTCCTGAGGCTCCCGGGTTTGCGCAAACACACTTGCCACAAACGCAGTCCCCACGCCCGCTGCAGAGAACTCCGTCTTCAGAGACGCAGGAGTCCGTGCTGGTGGTGCAGTTGCAGTACTCGCCAGTCCAGCCGCTCCTGCATACACACTCACCACAGTCACAGTCGCCGTTGTCTGTAAAACAAAATGCTCTATGCTTCTCACAGCCCAAAAACACTTGCAGATTTGAGGGGGTGAGGGGCATCTTTTCTCTTTGTCTTTAAGCACCATCATCGAAAGACAAGAAAAAAAATGAGAAAAAAAGGTGTGTGTTGGAGGGGTGCAGTATGAGTGTAGATACCTTCTATCAAATGTGTCTTGCTAATTGTGCATACTTAGATCTGGTCTCGCTAACTGAAGATCCACTTGCTTACTTTATGGTTGTAAACCATAAATAAAATTATAAGCCCCTCAGCCAATTGAATGGACCCCTCCTCTCAGCCAACAGCATTCTAAAATAAACCTGAAACACTAGTCCAGGCCGTGATGAGAGTGGGTGGTCCGACATGCCTTATTATACCCTCCTCCCTTTGGAATTCAGGCACAACTGACCAGCATTAACAAAAAAACAGAAACCTTAAGACTGACAAAGTAGGCTTTTTGTAGCAATAAGATACCAACATAATAGATAGCAGGTCCTGAAAGTAATCAAAGTATTTCACCCCAAAATATATTTATTTGACATATTTTGAAATGGCTTGACCAAGTTGTCTCTTGTGGGGAACATCTACATTCTACAGAGAATCCCCTTTTCTTTCCAGATCTTCTTCCTGATCCAAGAGAGAATTAACTAAGAATCTGGAACCTTTTTTAAGTCTTCTAGGAAATGTTTGCAATCTGTTCTCTCTGAAGCCTGCTACCTGCATAATACGAACCCTGTTCTCCACAATCCCTTATCTTAACCCAGGTACTCCCTTCTATTGATTCCAGGTCTTTAGATAAACTCTTTCAGCCAATCACCAACCACTATGACCTGAGAGCCCTGCCCATCCCCTTTGAGTTGTCCCACCTTTCTGAACAGAACCAATGTACATCTTACATGTATTGATTGATGTCTTATGTCTCCCTAAAATGCATAAAACCAAGCTGTGCCCTGACCACCTCAGGCACAGGTCCTTAGGATCTCCTGTGGCTGTGTCACGGGCCATGGTCACTCATATTTGGCTCAGAATAAATCTCTTCAAATATTTTATAGTTTGACTCTTTTCATCCACATATTACATGACACGGAATTTGTAATCAGACCAAATGAGGTAATCCAGAAAGCATGTAAAAGATATTTGATGTGAATGTATGTCTCTATGCATATTTATTTATTTATTTTTATTTTTTGCTTTTAGTTAAGATGCCATAGGATAATGATGCAAGACAGACCGGGATTAAAGCCCACCCCTCTATATCACTCAAGTTGTGTGATCATGAGCGTCTCATCTCTAAAACAGACAGAATAAATTCTACTTTCAATGCTTGTGACTGGATGAGATAATGTATATATCTCCTAATTTTGCATTCACCAGTTAGAAATCCCATAGGCATACACTGAGTGCTCAAAAAATTCACTACTTAACACACTTTAATTGAGCATATACTATGTGCCAAAGATTGTATTAGTTATGAGGATATAAAATTAAATAAGACAAGGTCATTGAACTTATAATTTAGTGTAGGAGGCAGGCTAACGAATACTACTACTAATAAATATACATAGGGGAATAGTTTCCAAATTAGACTGGAGATTTGAGGGTTCCAAAGGAAGTGATGCTTGAGCTGAATTTGAAAGATACAGGTAGACAATACAGAAAAAAAAAAAAGGTTCTATGCATTTCAGGAATGCATGTGGGATCATTCGACCTGCTTAACACCCACAAAACTTTCCTATGGATAGAGCCAAAGGTGCATATGGAGTGTGGCAGGTGGGGAAATGGAAAGGACAACAAAAAGTCAGAAGTCAGACAATGAAAAGCCTTATTGGCTAAAGGAAGAGCTTCCATCCTGAAAGTTTTATCTAGACATTTTTTAGCATCAGTAGACAGGTCAAGCTACAGATAGAAAAATCAAGAGTAGAGGCAAGAAGATATGAGACCATGAACCAAGGCAGTGCCCATGGGAGCAGCGAGGAAAGAATATATATTCGGGCATGGAATGCTCAGGGTGTGGGTGCGATTGGTGCCAGGCGGAGGGTTGAGGGAAGAGACAGAGGGATGGAATTCTCCCCAGGTGACTAGACTGAGCAGCTAGATGGATGATGTGGCTTTTCACTGAACTGGAGTGGAAGTTAGCTCATGGTCACTGCCGTATCACCAATACCTGGCACAGAGTAGAACCTAATTATTGAAGCAGAGGAGGAGAAGCAGCTTTGGGTGGGGAAGATGATGAGTTCATTTTGGCCCTGAGGAGCTCAAGGGGCCTGTGGGACATCCCAGTAGGAGGTTGAATATATATATGGGCCTGAAGTTTGGGGTTTGGGATCCATTAGGGAAAGGTGGTAGTTGAAGTTTTCATGGATCAGGTCATCTAGGGCAAGTAGGCAGAGTGAGAAAAACTCTGGAGAGCTTCAGGACTTAAAATGTGATCAGAAAAAAAGGATCCCTACAGAAGAGACCAAGAGGTAGGGGGGGAACAGAAGTGATGTTGCAGAGGCATGGGGCAGAGACTGTTAAAGAGAGAGGTACCTGGACACTTTTGCTGTAGACAAGTAACCCATCTAATCCTAAAGAGCCCCTTTGGATATGGCCACTTAATGATGTATGAAATACTTCAAAAATGATTTTAAAAGTGTTTAAAATAATGGACTTGTGTGTTATTTCCATAATATTATTCTGGGTGCCTACCATGCGTAAGACACTAACATAGGTGTTGGATGTTCCAAACAAATAACATTTATTTGCAAACTCTCGTAACTGATACTTTTCTTGAAAAAAAAAAAAAAGAAAGAAAGAAAAAGAAATGTGCATTAAGCATTTTGCCTCATAAGTTTTGCTCTTCCAGCAAAATTTAGGATTACCTAAGACAGTATATAACAGTGTTTAGAACGGTACCTGACCCATAAATAAGCACTGTACAAGTGTTAGTTACTGGCATTATTTCTGAAAACTATCCAGTAGGAAGAATTTGTAAACAAAATTATCTATCAGTATTAAAATTCCTATACTTTTACTGAAAACAAAGTGGATGTAGAAAAAAATCACAAGTGAAACAGGATTCTACTTGTAGGAGACACTGCCAAGTTCACTGTAGGAGGAAGAATTGTGGACTTTCTCTTGTAAACTTTGGTCTAGCAAGTGGCTTACTTTTCTATTTTGATGACTGGGCTCTAAGGAACTTGGAGCAGGAGAGTCCCGGGCTTAATTCTTTGGTCAAAAATCACCAAACAAAGATGATAGCCACAAAGATTTTGAAGTTGGATTCTGATTTCTCTAGGTATGTGTGTGCATATATGTATATATACATGTATGTATATATGTATATGTGCGCATACACACACACACACAGTCATGTGTCTTTTAACAATGGGAATATGTAACGAGAAATGCATCATTAGGTGATTTCATCACTGTGTAAACATCATAAAGTATACTTACACAAACTTAGATGGTAAACCTACTGCACACCTAGGTTATATGGTATAGCCTATTGCTCCTAGGCTATAAACCTATACAATATGTTACTGTACTGGATACTGGGGGCAATTGTAACACCATGGTGAGCATTTGTGTATCTAGACATAGAAAAGGTACAGTAAAAATACAGTATTATAAAATTATGGGACAACGATCGTATATGTGCTGTGTTGTTGACAAAATCGTCATTATGTGGTGGATGACTAATGTGTATATACATATATATTCTCTTTATATATTCTCTATATACTCTCTATATATACACATACACGCATGTATGTATAGATGCTTCTGGACTTGTGATAGGATTATGTCTGGATAAACTCATTGTAAAATGTAAAATAATGGGCTTATCCAGACATAACATCACTGTAAGTCGAACAACATACTAAATTTATATCACTTTCACACCATCTTAAAGTGTGTGTTTGTGTGCGTTGTCTAATGAAAGATGAGTTGAAATTTACCTGGATTCATGATATTAAGATATATTTCAACTGCATTTCATAACCTATGCAATTTATAGTTGACATAATTAATTCAAAGCAAAGAATAATTAAATGATTTGGGACAAAGGCATTCATTTCATTTTTACCTGTAAATGATCTTCTAAACTACAATATCTTTTTGTTTCTTCCTCAACAAAAGGGGAAACTTACTTTTATAACAGGAAGAAATTCCATATTACAGTTGATTCTGGAAAATTAATATGATTTACAAATATTATTAAAGAAAAGATGCATTTCCAAATGCTTTGAGAATGCTCAAGTATATCATTGCATGTAGGAAGTACTTGGCAGAAATTTAGAAAATCCTTCCTGGAGCAGTAGAAAAGAACCATCACGGCAAAAACATGGCGCTCCTTTCAGAATTTAGAAGCCCTCCTCTGTGCTGGCCTTCCAGAGCCACTGACCTGGTTTCCAAAGTTGCTAATCGATATCCTCAAACAACCAATTATCTAGAGTACTGGTTCATACAACAACAACAACAGCAACAACAACAACAACAAAACTTTCCTATTGGTTTCATGGAGGGACAAAATGATAACCAAAGATCAAGAAAAAATTACCATGGTATTTCAGAGGGATGAATCTTTCTGGAATGCCATTGACAGTAACTGTAAGCGCATAATGGCAGCAAGTGTTTCTCTAATGCCATTTGCCTGTTAGTTTCCATCTCTTAGAATCAAAATATAGGAGACTAATGGAATTTGGGCAAGCAAAAAAATCAATGGAGCTCTGTATCTTTGAGTGCTTACAGATGGATGAAAGAGGCTGTATGAAAAAGAACATTTCGATAATAGCTCTTCAGAAAAGTGGCACATTGCTGAGTATATTAGTTATAAACTGGAGATCCACACAAGTGGTGAGCTGTAGCATGTTTGATCCTCAGTTGCACATAAAACTACAGCAGCAGTAGCGTGTCTATTCCAATGCCAGGCACAATTTTTGTCCCTGCACTAAGCACAATGCCAGGCACATAGTAGGTACTCCATAACCATTTGTTAACCATTTGTTATAACTGCCTTTACTTTCATTATACCTTTTGAAAGAAAAGTTACTAATTATACAGCAACATCCTTTGTGATGTTACTAAAAACCAAAATAGCTTTTGAGAAACAGGAATGGCTGAAGGAAATTGGCATTGGTGAAGTTTTCTGAATCTAGCTAAATAAATCGTATTTTCTAAATAGAATTTCTGTAGCAATCACTGTATCTGACTCAAAGAGAGGCACTGTTGTCAGACCTTCCTAGCTACAATCCACAGATCAAGTCAACTCTTTTTTAGTTTATTTCTGTTCCTCATGCATGGTACAAAATAAAGTGAAAGACCATCAAGGAAAGCTCTATTGCTAAACACAGTTCAGAATTTTATACTGCCTTAGATCTCTTTGATCCAAGATTTAAAGGGTGAAATATAGGTCGTGTTAGTATCTCTATTATATTTTGTTAGATTACACTTAGGGCTTTTTGAAAGGTAATTTCAAGTGTTTTGAACATGTATTTTATTACAAGATTTCTATTAGACATGCAGTATGGGATTCTGCCCAATATATCCTCTCTGTGATGTGGTGACGGCCTTTGGCTGGCTTCTTGTCACCTTCAGATTGTGCCCCATCTGCATCATGTGAAAAGAGGACTGATGTGGGTTTGGAAACATACCTATTAAACCAGGAAATCAACCTTTGGATGAAAAGGGAGAGAAATGTGTCTCGATCAGAACAGACCATACATTTTTCACTCTCTGGAGGGAAAAAGGCATATATTCTCAGAAGAACTTATTGGTTGCAACAGCAGCAGCAAAGAAATGAAATGTAGGTACACTTCTAAGGGTATCAAATGGTTTTCAGAAAGCTTGGAATTCTTTGATGCTTCTTTCTTTCAGGTCTTTTTCCCCCCCAAATTAGTCTTTTTTATATGTTCCTAACACTGTCTTTTAAAAACATAACTTGCTTAGTTTTCTGTAAAGATAATGGCTTTCTGATTTGAATAGCTGTCTGCTTACAGAGTGTGAAGAACAGAGACACTGAAGCTTAAATTCAGCATTCAGTTAATATTTCAATCTATAAGACAAATTTATATTGTTTAAGAGTATATTAACATATTTGTAATTCTTTTCTGAATAGATTACACATATATATGTGTATATATAAAAAAGAATGTTACAATAGTCATATGCAATATATCCTTAAACTATAGTGATTTTACATCTACATAGGATATTAAAACATACATACTTCTATTTTAAATTTTTCTCAAATTTCTCAAGATATTCCAAGTAATTTTCCATCCTTGTCCTTCCTGCAGCCTTTTCACATATGCACTTACTCATCTTTCTTATGCCCAGTGCCTAACCTAGTATGTGTCACATAGTAGGTGTTTAATAAATATTTGTGGAATGAGTGAAGGCCCTGAAAGCCCATTTAATATATTTTTGTGCTCTTTATCCTTGGTAGCATGCTCATTTAGCAGTCTATCTAGTTTTCACTTTTCCAAAGTCATATACATTTAAAAGGTAACAGTCAGACACAGCAGCTTGGTCCAGAAAAACCTGGAAGGCAATGGAGTTCCTATTATAGGCACTTGTGTAGAGTCCGGGTGACAGCCAGAGAGAAGGCCCTTTTATCTTTCATCTACGCTTAGGGAAACAAAATAGACATAAGCTCAGTTGGCAGAAATCTCACCCCAAGTGAATGTTAGAGCCAGAAAACCTACAAGAGAAGATTCAGTTACCCGTGGTCTAAGGCTGATCAGCAAATATTTACTGAGCACCTACTATGCCCAGGAAACTGTGGAAGGTGCAGAGGATGCCAACCCCCTTGCTGATACTTGAGCAGCCACAGGGTAAGATGAATTTCGACATAGCCTACCTCCGCAGAGCAGCCCTTTGTGTCTCACGCAGGAAAAATTGTCACACTGGCAATAAGGCCCATAAATGTTTCCATAGGGAGACAAGTGGCAGATACACTGTCCACAGTAGCAGTCACCCCTTCCACTGCAGGAGGGATGATCTGGGGCCTCCTTGCAGGAATCTGTGCTCAGCATGTCCTCGCCACACTCACAGCGAGGCCCCATGTGGCCAGGGTGGCAGGCACACACCCCACACTGGAAGGAGCCGTTCCCGTGGTGACACTTGGAGCTGTTCACTTCCACTTCTTTCTGACAGTCGCAGTTGCATTCTGGACTGACAAGTAATTCCAGGGCGTCCCCCAGTCCCACAGGCTTTATGATAATGTGCCTGCTTCTTCTCTCACAGTTTGGGATATTCACAGTCACATTGAAGGAAGCCTGGAAAAGAAAATACTAATTATCTCCCTCCATCCACCAAAATGCATGAGGTGAAACAAGGCTTCATGGAAATCAGCTTTGCCAAAAGCATTTACTAGAAAATCTTTGAAAATTGCTTTGAAAATTCTTGAAAGAAATCCAACTTCAGTGAGCTCAGCTAACTTCTGACCCATCCAGGTATTTATTCAGACGATCTATTGGACAGCTACTTACTGTGTCTCCCACTTTCATGTGAGAGCATTTCTTTTGGTGTTGGAAGAATGTACCGTTGTTACAGATGGCTGTAAATGACAAGTTGAGTCCTTCAGTGTCTCCTAATACTTCCAGTTCCACCTCAGACCGCAGTTCCTTTAGTTACAATATAAAGAGTTCAGTGAAGTCACAACCCCAAAAATATAGCCAGAAGAAGAAACTGAATCATGTTCATTGAACTACAAATGAATAAAACTAAATTGGGTGTCAAAAGAAATTCAGTATATTACCAATCAAAAGCAAGAAAGTGAGCAATCATACATACATTTTATATATTATCAAATCTAAGGTGCCAACAATTATAAGATACACCATTATCTTATGACATTAAACTATGACAAAATATCTCAAGATGGTTCTGCACAACATATGAATCAGTCCTATCCATCTACCATTGCTTTGAAAATTATTTTATCCATTCTGAAGGATTTGGCAAATTCTCCTGCCCTGAGTTGCGCAGATTGGCATATAAAAGGCAATTCTTTTGCTTATATCTCAGTAACAAAATTTAACAACAGCTTCCTTTATGTGTATCATGATTTCTTAGCTCCCGTAAACCAGCTGTTTGTTGCTTTGCAAAGAATCCAGAATTGAAGTCATTCCTCCACCAATGAATATTTGACTCATTGATATCAAATTTACACCCTGCTGCTCTGTTTTGGTACATTTCTGCATACATAATAAACTTTTCATTTCAATATCGAATCATAGTACACACTTTTAAAGATATGTTAAAACAGCAATTAAACTTAAGTAGCAACAATGCCTTTAACTAATTGAAGTGAGTACAATCACAATTGTCCATGAAAACTACATCATGACTGCTGCCTGGCACCACAATGGTGATTGTAACTCACCATCAGTTGTAAGATGGAGCTCAATTTTAGAGATGTTAAAATGTGGGGGGAAAGTGTGCCTTAAAATCAATATTGGAATGTATTTAGTACCTATTGCACATTTAGTGTAGAGTTAGGTCTGGGGAATACTGTAAGAAAGCCTTCTGCCCTCAAGAGGTTTATTATCTTACTTTCTTTATTCCTTGTTCACTTATAAAACAAAAGTCTGTATTGTAGGTGAAGCAAACCAAATTATGAAAAATAAAAAAAACAGAATAAAACCAATTTTAAAATACTATAAATAAATTTATGCTTCAGTTAATCCAAAAGTTTTAAGTCCACATATCCATTTTCTTGTTGGCATTTAAAAAGCATATTCAGCTTCAAATTTCCCTTAAGTGTAATTTTTAAAAATTTGTTTTATTTTAAATTTGTGTGGGTATGTAATAGGTGTATATATTTATGGAGAAATGAGATGCTTTGATACTTTATGTGTAATTTTGCCAAATGTATAGTAAAATGACCCTGCCTTCCTCCAAAATCTGCTTATGCCGAAATAATAAGATTAAAATAGAAGCAATGTTGGAGATAAAGTTGGGAGCTAAATAAAAGTTAAGGGATATGAGCTAAAAGACTGTGACAGCAATTATAAGGACTAGTGGATGACATGATCTGATCTAAGTAAAGGAAATTTCAGCATTACTGTAATTTAACAGCATATTGCAAATTTGACCAGGAATATTTTAGTCTGAATTTCCCAAAGAAAGGACATAAATGCTTATTTGTAGTTTTCATCGTTTCATTCATTCATTTTTTGAGCATCTCTTATGAACCAGGAAAAACAAAAGAAACCAAGTCAATTCCCTCCTGGGATTTAAACACCAGCAGAGGAACTTATCCTTGGGATTGCTGATATTTTGGTATCCTTTATTATACGATTAGGGAAGAAAGGACATTAGTGAATGATGATCAGATAAGTACACATTGGTATTTAAGCTTTTTAAAAATATCAATATGGCACTGTAAAATATTGAGCTGAAGTTTGTAGCCACAAAGTTATAAACACAAATTGTCTACCTCTGCCCTACTAGAGGTCCGTCAGAAGCATTTTACGTTTTCTTTCAAAGTATTCTCTTTCCTTCTCTCTCTTTTTATAGACTAGAAAGAAATTCAGCCTATAGGTCCTCATATTTTTAAATTCTTTTTAGTATACATTTAAAAATAACAGTAGAAAAATAATTTGAACTAGTGCCAGGATCCATTACAGACTTTGCCTTGTGAATCATAAAGTTCCAATAATAACTCCAGTGCAAGATGGTTTCATTTAAGAATAATAGACACGTCTTAGTATTTCTGAGATAGTAAAACAAGGACAGAAGACTTAATTCAAATGTTTAATGCCTTGATTTCAACTATCCTGTAAGTTACGTAAGTATTTGAGATCATAAAGTGAGCCGTAACCTCTGGCAGAGCAAGCAGAGGCATGGGGGCTGCTCTCACTGGAGGGGGAAATATTTTTGACAATTCAGTGTTTTCTAGTCTCCTTAGTTTCTCTGAAGATGTTAGTGGCCAACACTGTTGAGAGTATTGGGTTCGAAAAAATGGAGTGCATTCTGATACAGTGAAGGATTGCTGTGTGATTTTATTTGATTCTACAAATTAAAACTTTAATTACTGCATGAGAGGGAGGAAGGTTTTTATAGCATTTTGTGGATGAGCATTCCTGCCTGGGAGAATTTCAAGCATGAGCTAACGTGGTGATTAATTTGATATGACCTAAGAAAACTGAAATTTCTGAGGCTATCAGTAAAACAAACCAAACCAAACCATCATCCTATAATTTTAATGGACACATCTGTATTTTTATTTTCTGAAGAAATGAAATACTTGAGAAGGAATATCTTGCTTTTCTTCCTTCGGGGTAGTTTCAAAATTGGTGGGCCAATGTCAAAATTATTGGAAACTTTTTTTTTCTTTCCAAAATATATAGCTCTCATTTCCCCTAAAGTCCTTCAAAGATGTCTGTGAGAGGAATCTGGATAGGCCTATTTTTAAAAACTTTCCATGTTGATTCTGATATGTCATTTTATTTAAGGAATGCTGGTTCAGTACATGCTAAATGTTGGCGTATATTACATATGGGCCTTTTTTTTTTTTGTAATTTTAAAACATCAAAAATCAGGAGAATTGTTATTCACTTGTTCTTACACAGTTGCTGTTTACAGTAAATACTGGAGCTTTACTCCTTACTAAAAATTTTCCCTTTTTTCATTCCTATCCTAATTTAGGGCTTCTTCTTTCTTTCTCTGCATGTGTATTTCTTTGTCAATAGAGGCAAACAAAGGGAGGGATGATATTTAGGAACCAAAATTAAAAATAATTGACAACCGGCCATCCATTGTTGACTAACGGAGTTATGAAATGGAGACAAAGAATGAGAACATAACAACACCGTAGGTATATGTTCTAATTTTAAGGGAGAAATTCTGTCCTCAGGTACTAATTCCCAAAGTCAAAGCAAAAGTTTACACACCTGCTCATAAACCAGTGGAAAATGTCCCTAGTTCCCAGAAGTATAGAGACTAAAAAGTGGCATTCCTTGTGTACCGGTGTTTTGGTGCACAGCCAGCACTTGTATTTTTGCTTGAGTTATGACCTAGTATCGTCAAGCTTGTGGAGTTAGCTCTCTACATAACTCTGTCACTCACTGGCAATTTAAACTTCATTTTTTTCAGACAGAGGAGAGCTTAATTGTATGACTCATGGAGGCTTTAAAATTTTGCTGGCAACAATGTTGCTGTTGCTTATTATTATAAAAACAACCTCAACTTTATGATCAGTTTTATGATTTTTCTATCTTCAGCTCCACCTCCCAGGAAGAAGATCAGCAAGCAAAATGAACAAAATTTATATTTTGATTGCATTCATGCAGAGACATTTTTTGGATAAGCATTCTCTCTACCAACAAGTAACTAACATTTAACTGCCTAAATCACATCTTAGTTTTTGAATACCAAAGAAATGCAAAAAAGATGCCAGCTGTAAAATATCCTACTTCATAAGCTGAGATGATCAGCTGGAGAATGTTTCCGGAGTCCTTCTGAAGTAGCCCTACTGTAGCTCCAGGAATAAGTTTTGCGTAATTCTGTAAACAGAAAAAGAGTAAGTCAATCTTTGTTTCCCTCCGGTAATTGAGAAAAGTGTGGGTTTGAGCCTGCTGGCTATGATTGCCTCTATTTAACTGGCCGGGGAAAACAGGTTCGTGATAACAAACCTGCTTTTCTCCTGAAACCGTAGCCTTTACTTTGTGCTGCTTCCTGTGCTCAAGTGGAAAATAGACTGGACGGAGTCAGCACTGGGGAAATCTAGGGTCTGTGGTTGCCATGGTCGAGGGCTGTGATTGCCATGGTCTAGGGCTGTGATTTTTGTCTCCAGAGGAGTCAAGTCTCAAATAATAGTAACATTTATATAACGTCTTCCATTCGTGAAGCATCCTTTGTCCAAAACGTTCTCAGCACACAACCAGGAACTTATCTTTTTGTAAAGTTGCAGAAACCAAGGTTTGGTGCACACAGGCAATGAGGGGAATCAGGTCGCTCTGTAAGTCATTCAGTTAAGAGGTCTTAAGGAGTTACCGCTTGGTGGAGAAAGAGTGAATTATTGGATGCTTGCACTGAGCTCTCTCTTCCTCTGGTAACGTGCTCCCTTTCAGGATGCTAGCACCGTGCTGGGGTTGGTTGGAATTGCTCCCACCACATCACCATGGAGTGAGTCAGAAACTAGTGCAGAAAGCATTATTTACCCACAGTGTTTTTTCCTGAGGCATCATTCCCACCTGAGAACTAGCAATATGAGTTCATCATCACTCCAGGCATTGGGCATGGGCGTGGAATGAGGCACGGCAAAGAAGGGAATTTTCCAGACAGCTGGAAATTTTCCCACCCTGGAGTTTTATGTTTTAAATTTTGTTGTTTTCAAATGAAAAGTTTTCTAAGGTGTGTGATACACATACCTGTCTTCTTAAACAAAGATTCCTCAAAATACTCTCACTTTTTTCTTGAAGGAATGGAGTTATTACTTATCAATATTAACTATAGTTTCACCAGGCATGCTGCCTCACGTCTGTAATCCCAGCACTTTGGGAGGTCAAGGCAGGCAGATCACTTGGGCTGAGGAGTTCGAGGCCAGCCTGGCCAACATGGTGAAACACCATCTCTACTAAAAATACAAAAATTAGCTGGGTGTGGTGTCACTCCTGTGGTCCCAGCTACTTGGAGGCTGAGGCAGGAGGATCACTTAAGCCCAGGAGGTTGAGGCTGCAGTGAGCTGATATGGTGCCACTGCACGCCAACCTGGGTGACAAAGTGAGACCCCGTCTCAAAAAATCAGTCATAATAAATTAAATAAACTATGGCTCTATAATCATCAAAGGCTTTTGAAACCTCCAGAGAGGTCACACCCATATCAAGTGGACCCTGACTGTTATGTTGTTGCTTCTTATATGTGTTTTTAAATGATTTCTACCTTCTCCTTGGTGAGCTCTAAGGTCTTACTCACCTACTAATTTACTCATTTATCTATTTACTGTTGCATTCAACATCTGCTGAGTAGGTTTGCTATACTGTACTATGTCAACAACCACTCCTTCTGTCAGCTGTGGTCTTCTGAGTTGCTGTGTGCTATGAAATTGGATGACTGAATTTATTAAAATTGTACGTAGAAAAAAAGTAAGTAAGCTTTGAATGAAGGATTTAGGGTATCTCATATAGTTCAAACATAATGATATTCTATCTTATTTAAAGAAGATTTAAGTGTTTTAGAAAATGCAAAAAAACTAAATTAGAATGGATAACTATCATTAACTATAATAGTGATACCAAGAAAATAAATTAGGACAAAAGGAACCAAGCAGAGGAACAAATGAAGCGAGGGCAACATTAGAACACAGAAAGCATGCAGGGTGTCCTGGGCACTTGATATAAGTGGATCCTTGGGTGAGTCCACACTTTCCACACCTATTTGGAAAAATGGGCTTTGGTTTTGATTTGAGGATTTGTAATGTTCCTCTTATTTCAGTGGTCATGATTGTGTTGAAGTTTGAAGTCAGTAGAAATCTAAATTCTTTTTTTGTTGTTGTTAATTTTTATTTTTAGAGACAGGGTCTCACTCTGTTGCCCAGGCTGGAGTGCAGTGAGTGGCCTGATAATAGCTCACTGTAGCCTTGAACTCCTAGGCTCAAGCAATGCTCTCACCTCCGCCTTCCAAAGCATTGGGATTACAGATGTGAGCCACTGAGCCTGGCAAAATCCGAACTCTTAACAGTGTGAGATGCTGCTCTGCCTTGACACTGTTTTATTATTGAGGAGGCTGTGGGCAGTAATCCAGGTAACATTCCTTACCTTACTCTGTGTCCCACATTGCTGCCTGATGATGGAGGACCCCCTTTTGTTTCCCTGAGTCAGGGAAAACTTGTAAAATACAAGGAAGGCACTGGTTTACGGACTTACCTTTTCAAATAAACACATGTCACAAAGGGCTGTGAAGCATGTTACATGTGGTTAACGGCGAATACCTATACAGGAACTTGAATTCCACTTAAGTGAAGCTGGAATGTGTGTAAATTTGACTGATCCCAGAAGAGATGGCAGAGGGAACCTTTCGAGCTTGACAAAGAAACATTTAGGTCCCTTAGGAAAAGGATTTCAAGGCTCTTAGCTTTCTACAAAACTGCTATCCTTGAAAAACATCCTAAGAACCCCAACACTGAGGTGTCACAGATACATTCTGCACTAGTTCCAGTGGCCTCCAAATTTGTGGTTAATTCTTGGCTAACAAAGCCAAACCCATCCACTTCCTAAAGCATAATTATAATCCTGCATGTGGTATGACATTTGGCATTTGGCTATTAGGACAAGTGGTTAGCATTAATCGCTGACTGCCACTACAGTGATAATATAAAAGGGTTGGCAGCCAGTAGCAGTAACCAGTGGTGACACTGACAGTTGCACAGAGGAAAACTATTAATTTCTGGATGCTGAGTCCCCTCAAAAGCATTTCAAATAATTAACTAAAAATATGGACAATTTGGCTTCCTGCTCTAACACTGTCAAAATTCATACTTTAAATATTGTAGTATTATGATTACTGTAAATATCATGTATCAAATGCCTTCCTTTCATTAAAGTCTTAACGCACTATTATAAATTGTTGTAATTAAACATGTTTAATGTTAGAAAAAGGATGATTTTGCATGCCTGGATGTGATGAATTATAGTATTTGTGACTCTAAAAGATGATGCTTGGATATTAGAAATGGTGAACACTGCAAACATGATGTTGCATGAGCTGATTAGAATTGCAAGCTCTGATGCTTGGGCCTGAATTCTCTATTATCTATCTGCAGATTATCCTAATTATGGATTTTCCTCGTCCTCCCTACCATACCACCCAGAAGTTCCTGAGGTTGCTTTTCTCACTCATTCTTTCTGATTACCTTAGTTTTCTTAACTTCCTTCTTCAAGCTCTATTTATCTCTTCACTCGGCCCCCATCTCCAAAAAGATTATGTGTGTATCTAACAGTCTGCGTTTGTTCCCTGGAAATCTCCTCTTTGTGGAAGAGAAAGGATAACAAACCAACAGAGAGCTATTTAGCAGGCAGGTGTGATACAGAGGAAATCACCTGCATTCCCACCTGCACATCCTGGGCTCCTCTCAGAGAGGGACTCCCGGTTTGGTGCCTCTCAGTGTCTGGCTGCCAGAACCAGCTGTCAGGTGTGCACTCCTGCTTGGCTCAGGGCAGAGGAACATGCAGTCACACACCTGCTGCCTGGTTAACTGTGGACAGGCTGTTGGTTGGCCTTCTCTTCAACAAGACTCGTGTTGAGGACCTTACAGAGCCTCTCTGGCTTTGGTGATATTCTGGCTTTCTGTCCTGCAGAAAAGGAAGCTCCTGATGTTACCCCTGTTCCTGCTCCAACTACACCTGCTGTGTGGTTAGCTCTTCAGAACCTGGATGTCTGCTGGGTCAATGTTTCGTATTAACTGTATCCTTGCTGGATACGTTGATTTGGTTTCTGCTTTGGACAGTGACTCTACTGGGCCCTTATAGCCTAATCTTATGACATTTCTACTGTAGTCTCAGAGACCCCTCCCACCTCAGAGCTCAGTAGCCCTCATTTGATAGAGACCATGTGACACATGCCCCTCATTTGAGGGTGAGAAGTCACAAGTCAAGTGGTCACATATCAGCTAGCAGCAATTTTTTTCTTGCTTTTATTATTATTTTAATGGATGCATAATAAACTGTTCACATTTATGGGGTACAGTATGATATTTTGATGCACATATACGATGTTTAATGATCAAATCTATCACATTTTAATAAAGAATTTGTAAAACCAAATGCTCAGAGCAGCCGGCTGCTTCCCTTTAGATTCTGCTTGCTTAACTCTCTTTATGAAGCCTCACTAATGTGTCACTAATATTACTTTATTTTATGCTCACAGCACTGTTTGTTTTCAATATTGTATTATTAACCAACATCAGTGTTTCTAATCTGTAAATACACTTACTATATGTATTCTACTGAAATACATTTACTAAAAGATTGGCTTGCATAGACTGAGAATATTTGATGTTATATACTCTGCTCACAAATTTCTCTTCTAATCTTTCTAAGTTTTTTTTTCATTACTTTTTATCTCTTTAGTTAGCAGCTCCTTGTGGTGCATTCTCTCTCTCTTTCTGTCTCTCTCTCTTCCCCTGTTTCTCTCTCTCTCTTTCTTTCTTATAAACTTTAATGGCAGCATAACATACAGATTGTGCCAGTAATAAGTATATAGTTCAAGAAATATTTAAAGAGTAAACAAGCAAATACCATCACCCAGAAAAATCAAGAAATAGAATATAAGCCGGGCTCAGTGGCTCATGCCTGTAATCCCAACACTTTGGGAGGCTGAGGTGGGTATATCACTCAAGCCCAGGAGTTCGAGACCAGCCAGGTAACATAGTGAGACCCCATCTCTACAAAAAATACAAAAATTAGCCTGGCATATTGGTGTGCACCTGCAGTCCCAGCTACTGGAAGGCTGAGGTGGGAAGATTGCTTGAGTCTGGGAGGTTGAGGCTGTAGCCACTGCATTCCA